TGCGCAAGCGAGGGAGCTGATGCCGCAGAGCATGTGAGGCGGTACACGCCGTCACAGGCACTGCTAACTAGTTGCTTACAGTCTAATCGTGGATTGTAACAAGTATATTACTTTAAAAGTGTTATATTTTATTTAAAAGCTTAAAATATAAGCTATATCTAAAATTTCTTTAATATATTTAAGTAGTTTAGTGTAGTCTTAGTAAAAGTAAGCAACTTAGGTGTGTAAGCAACTTACCTGTAGTGTATATTAGTATGCGTTATTTATAAAGTTAAAATAGCATTTAAAAAGTATTTTAAACTAAAATTTAGTTTAACTAAGTAATTATATATACGCTATAGTTATTAAATAAATTTAGTAACCTTTTTATAACAGTAAGTTATAATGCTTTAAAACGTAACAAAAGCTACAGTATACTATAAAGTATAAAAAATGTTAGATTTAAAATAAAAATAACTTTTATAGTTATAGATAACGTAAATTTAAGTTAGCTATTAAATAATAAATAAAATGTAAAAAAAAATACAAGAGCATAGTGTAAAATTAGCTACTACACTATAAAGTTAACAACGCTATAGCTACTGCTTGTAACAGCGCAGGCAAGGCAATAGGTTGAAATGCGGTATGAATCTACTTAGAGGCATATAGGAGTTTGTAGGGACTTAGAAACCTAGGGATGGCATTAACACCTATAGGCCTTGTACAAAGGATATTAGAAAACTACTAAGCTAGCTACAGAGGAGGTGCAACTAAATACTTAGGGGAATAGAGGACAGCAGAGGCTAGTTCAGGGTCGCGGCTAATACAAGGAACCTTCGGATATAGGTTCCGGGCAACCGAGATGGAACGATTCATGCGAATCGTTACACTAGTGTAACGAGGTAGGCACGGTTAACCACGTTGCCTTCTCTCGCTTACAGAGGTTTAGGCTAGACTAGAGACAACCCCTAGTGCTAGTTCTAGCCCTAGCATTATCTATATATATATTATACTATGCGAGAATACTTAGCCTAAGTATTCTTGTGCGTACCTTTTAGTACAGTAGGGAAAGTCGTAGGTATTGACTTGGCAGGCAGGGCGCCTACCTTATTACACTACTACTAGTAAGCTACTAGTAAGGTTCCTAAGTTAGAACTTATATTATTTATAAAGTGTTGTGTACAGCTATCTGTCTATATATATCCTTCTGCTGTGCTAGCTAGAAGGTTGACCTTTTAGCAAAACGCAACAGTTATGAGCCTAGTTTGCAGCGTAGTGTAGATGGTTAGCGCACGAAAATTTTCGCATCCCTGCTCTCCCTACTCTACTAGTAGGATTGCATTATCCCTAAGCACTGCGTGTTTAATTCCTACGCTTAGCAAAGAGCATTTAGGCAGTGCGTCTATTACAGAGGCTACCTTACTAGATCTGTCTCTAAGTTCTGTTGCTTAGGCTAGGAAGAGTGTGTTAAGGTTGTTTTATTATGTTTTACCTCTCTTGTTCTACAGTTTAAGCTAGAGGGTGTGTCGCGTACAGCTATCCGTCTATATATATCCTTCTAGTGTGCTAGCTATAAGGTTGACCTTTTAGCAAAACGCAACATAAAGTAAATATTATAAATTAGATTTTATCTATTATTTAATTAATTAATATAAGTGTTGTAGAGTAAAATGTAATTCAAGTACAAAAATGTTGTTAGAGTAGACTATTTGCTTGTATAGGCTACTTACTTGTAAAATACGTTATAGTTAAAGCTAGTAAGTAAATTCTTTATATAATTACTAAATATAGCGTAAGAAGAGTTCTTACAGCCTATAAATAAAGCTTGCAAAATAGAATATAAAAATATGCTTATAAAAGTATACAGATAAACGCTTAAAAAGTATTTAGTAAAAGTAAATAAGTATAAAAGAAGTAACGTACTTTACAGGCAAGTTGCTTACACACCTAAGTTGCTTACTTTTACTAAGACCCTACTAAACTACTTTTCTAACACTAATGTATTCCTAACAACACTACTTAGATGCGCTAAAAGAATGTTAGATACAGCTTACTCTTAAAGAAACATGCTGCAGCTATGTATAAAGTCTTTTAAAAGATAATAAATAACTATAGCGCTAGACAACCTTTACAAGCTAATTCTATAGCTAACTTATAAAGACTAGGTAATAAAAAGAAGTAGGTAATTATTAAAACTATACTTAAGCTATATACATAAAGATTTTCCCTTTAGATAGTATTTATAGCTATATAGCTAATTCTTTGCGCGCTAAGCATAATCTAGGCTATATTAGCATAAACTAGCTTAGTATGTTTAGGAAGTGTTATCTAAACCTTAAAGTAACATTTAAGTGTAGTATAACTATAAAAGAGCTTTTTATAAAAGTCCTAGAGTAATTTAAGGCAGGTTTAGCCTTATAGAGAATATTAAAGCTAAGTATAGCATCTAGGATAATAACATGTACAACTTTAGTAATAACGTACCTAACAGGTTGGCCGGCCACACAGGTTGGCTGGCCACTTTTGCCAAGCCCCTACTACACTCTACCTATCTACATAATGCCTTAACAACAACACTAGATTAAATCTTTTAAAGAATGTTAGATACAGCTTACTTTTTAGGCTTTTAAATAAGACTTAAAACTCTCCTTATAATACGCTGCAGCTATTTATAATATCTCTTACACAACACTAAGCAATTAACGCGCTAGACAGCCTTTAGAAGCAGAATGCTAGCCTAAATTAAGAAATCTAACTAAGCTTAAAAAGAAGGTAGTTGTTAAGTACATACTTAAGCTTATTACACGCAGATTTCCCTCTAGGCTTACAGCTATAGCTAATATAGCTAATTCCTTGCGCACAGAGCGTAATCTAGGCTAGGTTAGCTTAAACTAGCCTAGTATGTAGGTTAAGCATTGCCTTAAGTTTATAATAAAGTTTAATTATAAGTATAATTATAAGAGAGTGCTTTATAAGGATCTAAAGGTTATCTAAGGCTAGTTTTGCCTAGTAGCTAACATAAAAGCTAAGTATAGTATTTAGGATAAAGACATGTATAACTTTAACAAGTTAGGCTTTATAATAGGCTAGATATTAACTAGAGTAGTTGTTATAGCTTTAAAGAGATAAGGATAGCTAAAGGTAATATAGTAAGGTAATAAGAAGTAGATAATAGTTATCTAGAGCATTAACATAATAGAGTAGGCTATTTTACTTTTTATTATTTTTAAGGGCTACTATTACCTCTTTGCCTAGTATAAAGAGAAGAATCTGCTTTAGAACTAGGTTATTACAGTCTCTAAGAACAGCTAGACAATAAATAATGTTTGCAGTAATCACACAATAGTCAGATGCGTCGTCACCATGGTCGCATGCGTCGTCACCATGATCGGATGCGTCGTCATCATAGTCGTATGCGTCGTCACCATAATCTGTTGCCAAGACTCACCCACTCATTTCGCATGTATATAGACTCCTACAAAGGACTCCTCTAGATAGACAATACAATCCAGTTCCTTATGTCTTTAGTGCTCCACATAGCTTCACAAATAAGCTTAGGCTATAGTAGTTAAAGCACTTTAATAAGCATATAAAAAAAAAGTTATAAGCGCTTATTAGCTTTTTATTATTAACAGCTATAAAAGCTATAACTTACTTAATTTTTAGCAGTACTATAAGAAGAATAAGATTATTACTATCTATATGCCTTTACACTTATTACACCTTTTATAGCCTCTTAATGTAGGTTGTTTTGCCCCTTTAAAAAAGGTGTATAAGCGCTAAGCTAAAGATCTTATATGTAACTAAATTACCTATATTATAAAACTTAAGTTCCTACTATGCTTTATACGCGCCTATAATGCGGTAATTACTTCTAGTAATATTTAAGGAGGGTTTTAAGGCGCTAGTTTAGTCTTATTTAACCTAGAATAGGTTAAAATAGCCCTTAATATCTAGTTACATACTTTATTACTACTACTACCTATTAACAATAAGCCTTAGCAGTTATAAACTCTAAGTAATACTTTTAAATTTAGGTTGCAATTAATGCTTATAAAGGTAAGAATTTAAAAGCATATAAATAGCTTACTAATGTCTATAGTAAAGGCCTTTAAGAAAGTTTTAAAGAGGGCATTAATTATTGCGCATAAGCTAGTGTTAGTGTAAAAGAAGATTATAAAGCTTTAAGCAGCAAATAAGGCTACTATGTAACGTAGATTGCATAAAAGGAAGCAGATTTAGGCAGGAAAGACTTTAATAGTTAAGAATAGGGCTTGTCTAACTACTCTAAAGGAGTTTAGAGCGCGTAGTAATAGAAAGAAGCTAAAGACGCAAGTGCGCGCTAAAGGAGGTAAGCTAAGTTAAAGGTAATGCAGGCAGTGTAATTAGACTAGGCATAACTTGCGTATGTGTAAGAAAGTAGTAGAAGTAGACTTTAAATAATATCTTGTGTTGTATTGCTTTATATAGGGCTAAAGTAGGCAGTTTTGCGCTAGAATAGGGTGGTTTTAGTGGGGGCTTGGCAAAAGTGGCCGGCCAACCCGTGTGGCCGGCCAACCTGTTAGGTACGTTATAATAAATTTTACAGACAAGTAGTCTTTATAAGCAAATAGTCTACTTTAATAAAATTTTAGCATCTTATACTTTAATTCACAATGCATCTACTAATTAACCTTTATTATACTATTAAAATAGGTTAAATACTTTTAGCTTTTTAAGTAATTTATAAAGTTCTTAAAACTACACTTGCCTAAAGACCTAGCAGTAGATAATATATATAATATTTTTATTTCATCGTTATTAATATAATGTTTATTAAAGTTAGTTATACTAAAAGATTTTAGGTTACTTAATAGTGTAAGTTACTTAAAAGTAGAGTATATTAGTTATATATATATGTGTTTTTTAAAGGTTATTAAATACTCTAATAGCATGTTTCCCCTTCATTTCTGCTTTACCATAATACTAAAGATAGTAAGGTATACACCTCTTTCTCTATAGGTTGTTGGTATGGTCTGTTATTAAAAAATTCTGCGTGGTTGCTGCGAGGGCGTTTTAGTGAGGTTTGCTAGTCCGCTCACTTATGAAACACGTTACTCTTTCTTATAAAAGTCGCCCTATAGGGGCAACAGACCTTCGTTTCGCGCAGAAGCTGCCTTATCCTTTGCAAGCTCGCTCTTTTGTGGTAACCTCCTTGAGGTCGATGAGCGAGCCACTCTATCACTGGGCTCAACGGTTAGTTGAGACGTCAAGAGATCAGAGGCGGGGGGCATTGGACGAAAATTACTTGATCGTGAAACAAACGCTTTCAACGATGGTCGAAGAAGTCTCGTGCTGTGGTGACATTGCGTGTATGTGTTTCGCAATGGAACGACATTTTTGCTTAAAACTTACCCTATAACTTCTTCCAGAGTTCATATAGTTTCTTTAGGTTCAATTCACCGCACGCAAAACTGAGAGTTGTGGCAATGACGATGGGGAATAGGTAGCGGTGTTAATGAAGCCGAATAAACTCTCTTCATCCGCCATAGCTCCGTCATCAGGTATAGAGTTTCGGAAAGATTATAGGTCACATGAAATCTCCGAAAAAGTGAGTAACGTGAGTAATCGTAGGTAGAACTTTCGCTTACGTGACCTAAACACTATTAGGAACCCTGTGGTACCACTACATCAGGAGGCCGGAGCGGGCTGAACCCGGCAAATCTACCGCAAAAGATCATTGGTCATATCTAAGAAAGAAACTCCCGTTCCGGAAACCGAGCTCGAAAGCTGGGAGAAGCGAGTCGGACGCTGAATCCGAGGAATAATTACGATTACAATCCCGGGAGGCCATGGCAAGAACGAAAGTAAATATACCCTTGTAGAAAGCATGAGTTGTGAGAGAAGCGATTTATTGTAGACTGGGGATCGAAGGTGCTATGTGATGTGCCTAGGGCTTACAAAATACGGATGCGATCCCAAAATTGGAATCTTCTACTAAATGAAGGATCTGAATACGAACTAAGTACAACGAACAATTAATTTCGCTCTTGAGATGGAGGGACTTGAGCGTAACAATGTCCGCATTTGGATATCCACCCGCTACACATCCACCATTTTCGCTAACAACTAACGTAGCTCTCAGTAGAACCCAGTGTTGACACAGTGTTTTCCATACACCCTTTATTAAGGGGGCTCCTTCGCCAAGCTCCCTCTCATTAAAAGCCAAAATGAAGGACAATGGATACGAAGTTTAAGTACGGGTTGATCGGAGAGCAGATGTTACTGTTCTAGGAAATGCTGCCACTGGATAGGGATAGTATATACTACGTAGAATGCCTACCTACAACCTCACCATCAATTCAATGATGGCGTTCTCGATTATGAAATTGCTCCTTCTCCTTGCCGGGACCTCAGCAATCCTTCCAACGGCTTCAGCGCACTGTAAAGAGCTCCCTTCTCTGCTGTCGTATGTTACTAACCTGACCAGATACCTTCTGGGCTCTCAAAATCAATGGAAACGTGACTGGGCGTTTCCAATACGTCCGGTACTCTCCTGCTATTCACCCAATCAACACCCGGCACTACTGCTGACCCAAGCCAGAGAAAACCTTTCTTGGAGAAATCCCGCATATCTCGGCAAAGGTTTAGCCTCTGATATTGCCTGTCGGGACTCTTTCGAGGCCGCCAATAGAACCGGTATCGCCAACATCACGGCAGGCAGGGACCGAGTCGGCTTTGAATCAGGCGTCAAACCATCGCAGCGCAGCCATTACAAGCCATATCCGATTTTTCATCCAGGGCCGCTTAGTGCCTACTTGAGCAAAGTGCCTACGGATGACATCTACTCGTATGATGGCATGGGAGAATGGTTTAAAATCTATGAGCTGGGATGGAACGAAAGTGTGCCAGAGAACGCAACACAGCAGTGGTATCCGATGAGAAATACCTCCGTATTTCTGCGCCACTCACCTCAAAAAAGCGTATTTGCTGACTGGAGGTTAGATTGAATGGACAATACCTGCGACAACACCGCCAGGGCAATATCTGCTACGGATTGAACATATATTCCCACACAAAACAACCGAAGCTCTGCAACTATACGTAAATTGCGCACAGATACAGATAAATGGGCCTGGTGGTGGTTGGTACCTCATTTGCCTTTCTCATTTCTGTCCTCTAACAGACCCGTAGGAGTTCCTGCTCCACTGATCCACCTGACAGATTATCTGAATCTTAACAACTCAGGTTGGTTTTCACTACACCCACACCCTTTGCGTGAGTTTATCTAACTGGAAAGAACTGGTCGTATCTGAGAGCATGTCCGCTGGACTCTCTCGCGACCCCGGTTACCGTATTCCAGGTCCTCCTGTATGGAGGGGTGAAGAGAGCAATCAGACAAGAGCGTGGACATGGAATGCGGTAGGGATGCGGAACAGTGCTAGGACATCGAAGTGACAGGGCTTGGTATTATTTAAAATCGCAGTTGCAGAAACTGGCGCAAAAGCCTGCCGCGCTTTCAAAAATAGTATTCTCAAACATCACTTCCCACCCCTTCTTCTCGGCATAAGCAGAGACTGGTTGAGCAAACTCTTTCCAATAGCGGCTCGATTGTGCTCCTCGCTTTCCTAATCGCCAAAATCAAATCCGCGTCTATGCCGCTAAGGCGCCCGTCAATAGTTCGCAAATTCAACCTATGCATAGTCTGTATGTGTCGCACGTGTCTCACGCGATACCATATCCATGTGCTGCACTATTCACTCATTAGGACTAGCTCCTTTCCCGTACAGCATATAGTCAGCCTAGAGCTCTCTTAAGCTCCTTAGACCTTACAATACACTAGTACAATTTACTGTTTAGATCTGAATGCCTTGTTAACTTACTTACTTTATAATCCCTTCTTAGCTTATGCAAGAGTTATAAGCCTAGAGTTGCGCTTCTAACTAGTACTATAGTTACTACTGTACAGTTAGCTTTTGCACTTGGTTAACAGAGGCCCTGCAAACATTAACACATGCTAATCACAGCTTGCTTACTAGCTAAGTCTAATTAACTAGACAATAGCCTTCTGTCTATTCTAAACATATTAATTACAGCTTACTTACTAGCTAAACTTAATTAACTAAACAACAACCTTTTTGCCTATTCTAAGCATAGTTTACTAAGCGCTGATTAATAATAGAAAACCTACTTAATTTATATAAGTAACTTTTTACTTTATTAACACACTCTAAGATAACTTTAGCAATTAATATCTTTATATAAATTACTAAAAAAAGTAATTAAAAGCTTTAGTTTCGTTAGATTAAAACTAACGTAACTATAAAACGCATTTAAGAATATATTAACTTAAATTTTTTCTATAAAATCTACAAATTAACTCTATGCTGTAGAGGCCTACAGTTATAAAATTTTATACAGGCAGTAGCTAGTCTAGCTTTAACTTTATAGTTTCTAACCTTAACCTTAATAATTAGCAATGCTATGTAATAGCTTATAAAGACTGCTATAATAATCTAAGACTATTCAAAGCTAAACATAAAGCTCTATTAGACTTTTATATACTTATTAAGACTACTACTAATATAATACACTACTTTATTATTAGAGATAAAAAAACATCTATAATAATCTAAAAGCTTTAAAGGTAATTTTAAAGACTTTTAATAAGTAGCTTAAATCAAGCGCACAAACTATATATAACTGTATAAGAAAGTAGTTAACATACTCTATAGGCAAGTTGCTTACACACCTAAGTTAGTTACTTTTACTAAAACTCTACTAAACTACTCTTTCTACACTAATGCATTTCTAAAAACACTACTTAGATGTGCTAAAAAAACAATAAATACAGCTAATACTTTAAGCTTTTAAATAAAACATAACACTTTTAAAGAAACATACTATAGCTATATATAGAGTTTTTTAAAAACAATAATATAGAACTAACACACTAAAGAACTTTTAGAGGCTAATTTTATAGCTAAATTATAAAGGCTAGGTAATAATAAAAAGTAAGTAATTATTAAGCATATACTTAAGCTATATATAGAAGAATTTTCTCTTTAGCTAGTAGCTATAGCTAATATAGCTAATTCTTTACACACTAAGTATAATTTAAGCTGTATTAACATAAACTAGCTTAGCATATTTATAAAGTGTTACTTAAAGCATAAAGTAAAGTTTTAAGTATAAGTATAGTTAGTAGATATCTAGCCTATTATAAAGCTTATTTTATTAAAGTTGTATATATTATTATTTTAAATACTATAACTAGCTTTAAATTACTTTAAAAGTTTTATAAAAAGCTTTTTTATAGTTATAGTTATACTTAAACTTTATATTACGCTTTAGATAACACTTTATAAACATACTAGGCTAGTTTATCCTAACATTAACTAAATTATGCTTAGCATGTAAAAAATTAGCTATATTAACTATAGCTACTAGCTAAGAGGAAGATTCTTATGCATATAGTTTAAGTATATGCTTAATAATTACCTACTTTTTATTATTACCTAGCCTTTTTAGGTTAGCTATAGAATTAGCTTAGAAAGGTTATCTAGTATATTACTTTTATGTTTTGTTTAAAAGCTTAAAGCATAGGCTATATCTAATATTCTTTTAGCATATCTAAGTAGTGTTATTAGGAATGCATTAGTGTAAAAAAAGTAATTTAGTAAGGTTTTAATAAAAGTAAGCAACTTTAGTGTATAAGTAACTTGCTTGTAGAGTACGTTATTAAAAATATAATAGAATATAAAGACTATAGTGTATTAAAATATATATATATTTAAGCTAAAGTAGTCTACTTACTATATATAGATTAGTATTAGCTACACTATAACTTTATATTAGTAATTTTACATGTAAACTGTAAATGTATAGTAGCTATTTAATTAATTCTAGTCTAGTATAGGTAAACTAATCAAAATCTACTTTATTTTCTTACTAGCTATGTAGAGTTTTTTAAAAACTAGTAAAAATTATAGCTAACTTAGTAACTTATTGTTACTTATAGTAGTTTTACTATATATTAGAAACACCTGTCTATACTAGAACAGCAATAACAGCAGTTTATATGCAACCTTTATAAAAGTAGGCATAAAATAAAGAACTATAACGTTAATAATTTTAAATTAAAACTTAAAAAATTCAAGATCTTTACTTTCTTTTAGTAGAAATATAACAAGTTGTCAGATTGAAGCACTGTTTCTAGGCTTCCTGAGATGAATGATGGGTTTGGATATAATGTATAGGATGATTGATTGATTGTATTGATTTATCGATCCTTTTTCTGCTCTACTCGTGTTGCTCAGCTTTTTGTTTTGCCGATCCGAGTCCCTCGCGCACTTGCCCTATGCGCGACCAGCTTGCAA